TAAGAGTACAGCAGTTAAATTTGACGATTCAAATTAGTTAGGATTGTTTTTTTTTCCAGTGCAGCGCTGGAAAAACAGCATTTTATAGTCAGTTTAAAACTTACATTAACCTTTCAAGTAAACATAGCTGATGCTTTCGCTTCATAATTCAGGTCTAAACCGATCATCTGTTGTCACACTTTCCTTCCAAATAACAGCTACAGAATGTTTGCCCTGCTATTCCCCATTTTTGTCAGTAGCATTCACATGTTTCTACCATGCAAATAACATCTTTCACTGTACAGTGAAACGCAGTTCTCAGTGGCACATTAAGAGGTATACAGTACTTCTTTGTTGAGGCAGATCTGACCTTGCCTTCAGCCTTGTTAAGATGCCTCACCCATCCATCTCACACTGTCTTCACACTTCACATTAAGTCTCAATAAAGCCCTTGGCGATAAAAGAACTGTACAGTCACACAAAGCTACAATTTCCCACCACTGCAGCTTTGAGGGGCTGTCTTTTGATTTGATTTTGAAATTTCAGGGTTTTCTCAAGTTTTGATTGTATTCATTGTCTCTATATTCATTCGAAACATATTAAAACAAAATCAGAACCACTGACCCTTCACTGTGTATACAGCAATGCATGTTTCAGTTCAGTTCAGTTCAGTTCAGTTCGTTTTAGATGCGGTTTCCCCAAAGCATTCTGGAGGTGACATAGCGGCTCACCCTGTTTGTTTCCACCTCCACTGTGCTCTGAGGGACACTTTAAAATATATATACTGGCTTTGAGAAACACAGTCACAGCAGCATCTACATAAAAATTATTTCCATATTGAAATAAAAAAAAATGGAAACATATTTGATATTCATTTTTGTACCTGCATGCATATTATTGACCAATTTTAATAAAATATGCAATTTCCTATTTTACATTTTACAATATATAGACTAATTACATCTACAAATTTCAATAAAGAATTCTCTATATTTGAGGTCTTTTTCCACATCTGGCTGCATTTTGGCTTCTTTTAAATGTGGGATAATTACAACTTGTTCAGTTGAGTGCATCAATTATGATTTTGCAATTCCTCAAGAAAACCATATGATAGGTACACTATGTACATTAGAAGCTATTAATGTAAATACCGTTAGTTTTGTTTTAAATTTCTGGTTTTAACTCTAAAGCAAGTTGCAGGACTTTTAGACGCCTATTCTGATCCAATATTTATTCCAAAAAATCATTTTAGAAAATTGCGATTGTTTTAAAAGGATTTGTTGTTGCAACGATAGCCCTGATAGGGGAATTCATTGTTAATTGATGGCGATCACTCTGTTCCTTTAGTGTGTTTACTTTGTCCACAGTGTTATATGCAATTACTTCTTCAACAGAACAAACCCAAGGCCTTCATTTGTTCAGTTCATTCCCTCCAGGGCTCTGCCAAGAGGACCAACAAAAAACACAAACATCAGAAGATCTGCAGTGTAACGTTCAATAAAGCAAAATGTCCTTTTGAAATGAAACCATGTCACTCTTCTTCTAACAACTGCCTTTGTATAAATGGCATAAAAGCAACGATATTTAACCGCTGTGCATCGCCGTAGGCATGCCATAAGAAAGGCGAATAAGGAAGAAGAGCTCCTTGTTTCTCTTTCAGTGTGATTTTGAATCCAACCACTACTCCAACAAGCACCTTCTAACCACAGGTTGATTCAAATGTGGGCACAATGCAGCTTTTTCTCCTTTATTTATATAAATAGTCCCTAAAATACATTACAGAAATTACACTGTTGGGAAAATGGAAGTGGAATAATTTCTATGGAAGGACCACGCACTAGTACAGCATTACTTCATGGTTTGCTTAGCACCCTAGGCTGCAGTCTTACAAAGAAAATGTTACATGCTAGTTCCATATTCCCTTTTTCTTTAGTCATAGCACTCATTAATAATATGCTGCAGTTGTGTCTGGGACTAAGTGATCAGTGATGTAGGTTCTATATGCATTTTCAAGCCACTTCACTCACTTTTATTTTTCGTGCTGACTTTGTTATCTTTGAAGGTTGAGATTGTGGTTTTACCTTAGTTAGAGGTTACAGTCATATTCACAATAAGTGCATTAAATTCACTAAATGCTTAAATGTTAGCCACCAGATGCTCCAACCTAGGAGACATAATAATTACATCATAGATAAAGGCACTAGCTTCTTTACTAAAACGGCTGCTAAAGCAACCCAGATACATCTGTATGATGCATGTATTAACTTTTTTTCCAGTATGCCAGATATGGTCATGAGCTGAATTATTTTTGCTTGTTTATTTATGAATGACAGTTAGTATTCCCTGTTTTATTAAATATGTTAATGAAAGAAATCACATCTCTTCTACACTCCTCCTGCACTTTAAGACTCAAATATGAGAGGACTTTTTGAAACCATTCCTTCTGCAAGCATTTATTGTGGAAATATGAAAGCAACCACATTTAGTCACTTCAATTTTGAGATTTTAGAAGGCTATGTTGGAGTTGTAGCTGTGGCAGAATCTGCTCAAAATCACAATAAAATGTATACAAATAAATAAATACATAAAAACTGAACATACCTATGAGCAATCCCACTCCAAACACACTTCAGCAGAACATGGACACTGCTTTCTTGTCTTATCAGGAGCCCAAGATATGTTACTGTAACATCTACAAATGAACACACCGTCTGAAGTAAACTGAGCACCTTTTGAGCAAAACTGAAAGAAAAAACCCAGCAACGTAAGCTTTAACTGTTACAGTACACACCCATGTGTTATTGAATCTAAAATATGCATGTGTAATGTGTGATAGTTTCTAATGTTATGGCACTTCCCTTACATGTCCAATAAAAATTTATTTTAGCCCCCTAGTATCCACATTTCCATTTGAATTATCTCAGGAATCTTTTAAAGTAAAACTGAGCAACATGTAAAAAAAGTGCTTACATCATGTAAATAACGAAAACTTTTGGCTCACTTTGTGTTGTCTTCAATGTCACATACGATTTGTTCAAGGAATGACTGTACTCAGCATTTCCATTTCAAATGACAAGCACATAAAGAGACAAAATACAAAGGCTGTGAATAGAAAATGGCAAAAACGAGGTGGGTTCTTACACACACGCACCGACACACAAATAAAAAATAGAAATAAAAAATTAGACACAAGTGAAGCAGGCTAACCAACCACAAGCTCCATTAAGGCCAAACATACCCATTGTTTTTTATGCCCTCTAATATGAAAAAATACTATCATATACTATGGCACAAAATCTTATCCTCCGCTATGTATGGTTGGTTGTTTTAATTGGATTGTTTTTGGCATACTATAGTTCTTTCTGAAGCCTCTACACTACCTAAAGAAAAACTGGAGAAGATGTACAGGAACAGCCACAAATCTAAGGGAATTGGACAAGATTTTGCTCCAGTGCAAACAGCAGTTACGAGATATGAGAAGCTAAAGACAGAGCTACAGAAGCCCTGAAAGGCAAGTGAATTTTTATTTATTTTTGTCACAATACCCTTTTTTTTATCTGTGAAAACAGTTGACTTTTTTTCCAAGGTAATTTGTCTTTGTTTACTTTTTGCAAGGAAGTGGAAGATAATTTTTCCAAGAATAAATATTTACCTCTGAAAACCGGTGATAAAGAATGTATCTGCTTTCACATGTGAAAAAGAAAAAATGTAAACTTAGAAAAAAGATATTTCACTAGTTTTCACAGATAAAAGTTAAAACCAAGAATATTTGCTGCTGTTTTCACTTGCCTTTCAGGGCTTCTGTACAGAGCCGTTGGAGCAATAAAATGACTTTCTATAGAATAACTAAAAGTAATTGAATTACCACCCTTCATTGTGCATGTTGATAGTTTGTTATAGGTGTGTGAAATGCACATGTACAGTAAGCCCCTGGTGAAACTGCTGAATGACATCTGTTCAATAAGAAATGACAGATAGTGAAAGTCAGAATTTCTTCTGTAGGCCAAGAAAAGTAGTTCTGTGGTGTGTTCCTGTTTGTCAGACACTCACGTCAAGCCCACGTCCTGATCATTTACGACAGAGCAAAAGAGATGAGCAGATGAGCAAATCAGCATCATTCTGCAAGATAAATAAACTGAATTAACTCAACGAATGTACGTCTAACAGTAGACAAGTAGAAGTACATATAGGAATGGAAAGCTGGAACACGTCATTATAAGAAAAGGAAGTGGAACACAATAATGACTAAAGAGATGAAAAAGGCTAGTTTGTTCTGCTGGCTGATTCTGGTGGTTGTGTGGTCTCGTGTCCTGTGCTCTGAGGTATACTTGGTAGGAAGTGAGAACACCCATATTTGTGAGGTGAGTTTTCTCGGCAGATAAAAGACGTTGCTGGCGGAGAGGATCCCGTGGAAGTTGCTGTAAACGGAGACCCGCAGGGCTTTTTTTGGGGCTGTGGGGGAAGATTGGCTCAGCACAAGAAACATGGCCTATGCCTGGAGAAGCCTTTTAAATTAAAAGCGGTAACACTGGAGTAGGAATGCTGGGATTTCAAAGAAACAGGAAAAACGGGAATAGTGTATTGACTCTTTGTATTCATCTTTTTGCACTGGAGTAAAATTTTTGGAAAACTATGGCAGCTATCATTTTGATTTGAATTAGTAAGTTTAAACTTTTTATTTATAAGGGAATACTACTTGATTTAAGCACGCACAGATCATTGTTGTGCATTTGGGCATCATAACCACTAGTTGGGAAAATAATCAAAACTTTTTCAGAGGGGAAGCCTTCGAACCAGGACGCCAATCTGTGATGCCATTCCAATCACCAATGCTGCTGTTTCGCTGACAGTAAGCTGGGACCGGCATTTTCAACACAATCAGACATTTTTTTAAGGAAAAAAAATATTTTGGTTTCTGAAAATAATTATTTTTTGGTTCTCAATCTGATTTCTGATTCTTCCAGGTATATTTGTTGCCATTACAGATTAGCTTGTGAACCTGGCAGAATGCTCACTAATGCAGATTGAACTGACCAAGGGAATAGCTACAGAATAAACCAAATATGAATGCTCAAATTTAGTGCTATTCCCCTTTATAGATAATAATTGCAAACAACTTTAATTAATAGTGTTTTTTTTTTTCATCTTGTGTGTAGCTAGTGTTATTTTGGAATGGGGGCATATTGCATGATTGTGACCTTGTCCTCAAGGGCTTTTAGAGGAGGGTGGCATGGTCGAGGTCTATGTTGTCCATGCTGGCCAAAATAGCCTTCTGGTCCTCCCGTGGTGGGCGACGGTACAGCAGAGCAGAAAAGCGAGTATATGGGTCATGGAGGATGGGCCGTTTCTTCTTCTTGCGGAGGTAGAGAGCTTCTTCGGGCTGGAGTACCTGAGAGGTGTAGGCCTGCTGGGTCTGAGAGGTGGAGACACCTGGAGGAGGGGAGAAAGGCAGATCATTGCCAGCTGAAGTCATAGTGGTAATGTTTATAGGCAATTCTGAACAATAATCCCAATAACTGACTGTAGTTGTTAGGGATGAGCAAGTACAGCATTATCTGTTTCCATGGCTTCAAGCAACTAAATTATCTGTACTTTTGTCCGTACTCGGAATAGGCAGGGTTTAAACTGGACGTGGGGGGCACCTGAAATTAATTCGGGCCTTTTCCACCAACAGGGAACTGGCTCCATTCTGGTTCAAGCACCTAGTTTTTTAACCGTTTGCAGCGTTTCAACCGAAACTAAATTGGTTTGGAACCTGAAAAGTAAGTTGGGACCAAAGAATTGCAGGTTTTCCTTGGGAACCAAAGTGGGCGTGTCATATTTTACTGGTTGTGCACCACACTCTGTCGATGATACATCAGAGTACTGGTGCTAAGGCTGGTTTGCTAGATAGCACCAAGGTTCCAACAGAAGAACCAGAGCAAATTTGGTGGAAAAGGGGCCAGAGAGAGGTTTGAAAGCGTTCAGTGTACAATGTGGGTTGTGTGTACCTAGAAAATCTGTTTCTTTTTCTTATAGTAAAATCTTCTTTTGAGAAACATGATTATTGGCTTTATTGCAGAGATTTAGATGAGAAGATTGACACAACTCTCATGTTTGTATGCTAAATACAATGTGAATTTACAGTCAGTATGCGTTTAGCTTAACTTAGCATAAAGACTGGAAGCAGAGGGAAACAGCTAGCCTGGATTTGTCCAAAGGTAACAAAATCCACCTACCAGCACCACTTAAGCTCACTAAACAGGAGTATCTGTTGGGTGCCACGCAATCTCATGGTGATGACAAGGCTCCAGGAAGTGTATGGATTAAACAAACAAGACCATGCGTGACAAGAACATGTTAACTAGTCAAATTTATCGGCACAAGTATGCAGGTTTTATTAGGCCAGGCCAGCTGGTTCCCACTCCTTCCAATTTTAGTGTTGTTAATGCTAAGCCAAGCTAATTGCCTGCTGACACTAGCTTCATGTTCAGCATACAGATATGAAAACAGGAATAATCTTTTTATTAATCCCTGCAAGAAAGCGAATAAGCGTGGTTCCTTATTGAACTGTTGTAAGCAGAGGAGAAAACATCAATATCAACACTGTTTACTGCCTTTACTTTATTCCTGATACTATACACTGGTCAGTGAGATTTTTGATTGTACTAGAGGTGTTCAGCACATACACAGACAAATCCAGAATGATTTGTGGGGAGGAGGGTTTACTTTCCATTCCAGGATGGTGTCACTTTTCCTTGCACCTTTCTCTCTAGCCCTAAAACCCACAGAGGAATTATTTGATGACATCTTCTCCTGAAGATTGCCAGAGACGGATCAGACATCAAAAAGATTCTGTCCCACATGGATTGCAATTGAGGACATGAGTGTGATGTGGATGAAAACTGAAGACAGGGTTGACTAGCACTATCCTTTACAACCAAGTGAGCCATCTTGTTTTCTTTTCATCTCTGTTGAGTTGAACATTCACAGTACTGATAGGATGTTTATGGATGTAGTGACACCACAAATCATATCTTTCATAAATCAAAGTTTTCTCATATGGGCTCTGTAGCTTAGTAGTGAGACGTGCTCTGCTGAAAACATGTCCCCACTCATTGCGGGACTGACAGAGGCACCACACTGAGAAACACCAAACTTTCCAGAGGGATGACAGGAGAGGGACGCTAAAGTGCAGAGTTTGCTTGCATCTTGTCTTACCATGCAGGACAAGACCAAGACAGAGCTACGACAGCTTCTCTTTATGTATCCTAGATCTTGGTAAAGAAGACAGCCACTCACAGACTCCAAAACTGTGAAAGAATGCATGATGGCTACTGTGGATGAGGGGAGTCGTCATTCCAAAAAAGTTAAATAAAGGTTTTAAATAGGCTGTTGAAAATGTGTGGGCCATCTAGATTTCTTGGTTTTAAAATCTGGCCGAATGGATTTTGGTATGTATAGTGAATACGAGTGTAACGATATGTGTATTTGTCCCTAACCGTTCTGTACATGTTTGATATGCAACAATACTAGTGAGGACAGCTTGGCCTCTGCTGCTTTGGTTTTGACAATTCTTTTTTAATCAGTGTCTTGTGAGTCCCCCAACTTTATGGAATTGCAATGCTAAATCGGAGTACCCTGATAAAGTATCTGTTTACAAATATAAACAAACTTACAATGCCAGGTTTACACCACTTACAATATCAGGTACCAAATCAGCACTGCCCCTATCTTGTTTAATTCAAGCCTGTGGCAGACAAGTTATTTGTCTGTGGCAGACAAATGAAGCCAACTACAGCTACAAAAATCAGTCAGTCTCCCTAAGAATGTGGTCTTAGGCAGCTGTTCTCAGCAACCAAGCTTCGTTCGGCCCGCCTCAGCTCCCCCTCTTTGCCCATTTTTGGAGTAGCTGACCAAGCTTCACACCGGGTCTTCAGAAACCTATGGCTGACGTCCCAAAGACTCCATATTTGTTTTGAGTCAACAGTGGAGTTTTACTTATCCAATGACAGACACCAAAACATTCAAGTATAAAATTCACATTACATTATAAATAGTATTAACATTTGAAGTGTGATTCACTGCTTTGTCCTCCTTTGGCAAATGGCTGTGAAAAGGTTATCCAGTTGTAACCCTTCTGCCAAGTATTTTCCAAACATATTTGTTTACAGACATGAAGAGGGGAAGGAAATGAAACACATTGATACTATCACAAATAAATGTGATGCATTCTTGGTAAGTCACAAAAAACATAAAGGCTAAAACACACCGGTGCCAAATGATGCGCATCAAAAACACCACCATGATTACTTTCAATGTATAACCTCCACACTGGCAGAGGCTAGACGCCCCACATTGCTTCACGCCACTGTCCTATTTCCAGCATCCCCATGATATTATAAATTATAATGACAAAAAGACACTACCTAATATAAAGCTATATAAAGCTATAGTCCTGGCTGTAAAGGGGAGTTTAAATAGGGGTGTCCACACATGATTTTAAGGTTATTTATGGTACGATACATTTTAGTATGAAAAAACTGAAAAGTAACAGATTATTTTTTATCAGTGCAGATCTGCTGTTACAACAAGCCTGCTGACCAGTTCTGGGAGATTGATGAGCTGCAGCGCTACTCTTGTGATCTGTGCTAGGGATGGCGGTGTGTTTTAGCCTTTAGAATACATATTTGAGAAGCAAAAAAAACGAAAACATTGTATATTTCACAATGTAGCAAGTGCTTGAAATATCACTGTGTAAAAGGGGAGAACAGAGATGAACAGGGTTCACACCTGCTTTCTTTCTGGTCTTGGAGTTATTGTTGTTCATCGTCATCTTCTTGGCCTTTTTAATACGTTGGTATCTCAGTGCATCAATCCTCTCAGACCCCGAAAGGGCACTCGGCGCACCTCGACGTTTTCTGGATAAAGAACAGAGAGGGGAAAACGGGTAACTCAAGGCCAAACGTAGTAAGCTAACTGTGTTTCTGCACTACGGAGCGCAACAAAGCCAGAAACCCACACAATCTCAAAACAGCACGGCCTGTGCTAAGCAAGAGGTGCAGCACATTGCCAAAGGATCAATGTGAGACACCTAAAGAGCTGTACTCTGAAATCCAGCAAAGTGATTCATTCTACTATTAACAAAACCTTGTACCTCATCTGGATTACCAACTAACAGTTATGTTTAGGTTAATGATGATTATGTTTCATAAAATGAGTTCATAAATCCAGATGGTATATTAAATTGTGCACCTTGAAATTTCATTGCCCTTCAGGGACATCAAGTTATTTTGCTCAAATTGATCCAAACAATCTTTATCCAGAGAAAAGCAAAGTGTTACACGATCCCTGATACAATCTCTTTACCTCGTGGTATAGATTAAGACAGTGAGTAAAGTTTGAGAAGATACAACATTTAAAAAGACTTGCACTGTTGGTTTCAGAGGAAAATTTCTTAAAATATGAAGAACATTTTGTACTAAATGTAACTTTTCAATTGATATGTTTGCAGATTGTATGATTTTTTAGACAATGAATCAATGACACTCTGAAAATAACAGGTGCAAATGTTTCCTTTTCCATTTCTCAGCTGCTCATGATGGCATCTACAGACCTCCCTCCCATTCATGGAGGCACTTATGACTTGGCAGCCCACAGATGTCTGCCACAAACACACACTTGGATTTCTCAAGGCACAGAAAACAATTAGCATTACAGAGAGGCCATCTTCCCACCGTGGCTGCAGAGAGAAACCGATGGTCGTTAGTAGAGGGGGAGAATCACAGCTGAGCAACAAAGCATCATCAATATGTATTCATAGACATGGATACTGTCTACAATGGGCTTCACCATGCTGACAGGGGGAGAGATGGCGGGAGGGGAAAATGACTACTCGGGAACAGTCACATAATGAAAAATAAGCCAAAGAAAAGCGAAGCACTAAGACAACAAATGTAACAAGAATTTATCCATATAATTGTTTCTTTTTTGAAACGGAGGAGCAATACTTAGCGATGGCATGCATGGCAGTTTGCACATGGAACACGACTTTAAAGGGGAATACATTCAAAAGCACTTCATTGGGCAGTTCACTCAAACATTGGGGTCCTCAAGCCCCCTGTGTGTCCCCCCTCTGCAAAGCCCTTGGCAAAATATTTGTTCCTTAGGATAAAAAGAAGTGCATATGCTGTTTTTGGCAGGACACTTGCTACACATGGCAGTGAGAACTGTTCTGCAGTCCAAACTTACAAGGGCAATTGTATACTTACAGATGGTTTAATTCATGCTCTGTACAGATGCTTTATACAGGGGATTAAGGCCATGTGTCCACCAGGAAACTGCGCTTGGTTGTTCGGGCTAAAGAGATGCTTGCAGAGAGTGCTGGTAATGGCTCCTGCTATTGCTCTGCTGCTGTTCAAACGGAAACTGGTGCATTTCTGATAAAAGCTGAACTATATTTTTTATGAAACTAGTGCGCTGAGAACTTCACACATGCTAAGCTTTTATCCCTGCCAGAATCATGCAACAGAATTTCTGCTTCATTGTTAATGCAAAAAGAGAGCTGTGAATGATGGCTCCCAGTGGACACACAGCTTAATGTGACGTCATAACGCCAATTTTACAAAATATTTCTTGGAGATTGGGGTCCAAAATATTTTCAATTGGTGTCATACAATACAAGCATCTGTAAAATATAAATGGCACAATGTGTCACGCTTGAGGAGAATGCTAAGAAAGTTTTCAGAAAGTGATCATCTGAGAATAAAGATTGTGGAACGAAGTCCACATAGACCAACCTTTCATAAATACACAGTATGGCACATCTTGTAATAATCTATATAATACAGAAAGACACCAAAATAAACTGGTGAGCATGCCTGCTGAGAACAGCATATTAGCTTTATATAATGAAAAATCAGTGTTACCTGGATGTAACTCCAGTTCTATGACTACGTGTGTGGCCATCTAATGGATTTCGCTACTTGTAATTTTTTTTAGAAAGGAAGTAATTAGTGGTACAATGCACGTTTAATTAACATTATTCTTTGTTGGCCTGGTGAGGCTGGTCCTTCAAACCCCTACTAGGCCCATCTTCAGACTGAGTGGGAGGAAGCGGTGTCAGCTTAACGGTGTGGGATTTAGCGGCACATAGTGGTGAAGTTGCAGACTGCAATCATTTGAATACAGCTCATTTTCCAAGAGTGTAGGAGAAAGGATGATGGCCACAAAACTTGTGAAAAACAGGAAAGGCCCTATCTAGAGCTAGTTTAGTTCTGGGCTACCGTAGAAATATGGCGGATCAACATGATGGACTCACTCCCATTGTAGATTAAAACAGCTTATTCTAAAGTAACAAAAACACAACTATTCTTATTATTAGGTGACTAATAAAAACATACATATAAATATTATATTCCATTTCTGCCAGTAGATCCTCCTGAATGTGACACACTGGAGCTTTAACGTCTTGCTGGATGTTGGTCCCAAATAGTGAGTTTTAGGAATGGCATGTTGAGGACTGCTCAACTTTCATGCTACTTCAGCATCAAATAGCTCACCCAAAGATGCCTGTGTCTGTCATACTGTATGTAGCTCCCATGGTTCTCTCACAGTTGATAGTAAAGACCAGAGACACTCTGAGAAACTTTTCCACCTCCGTGTAGGTATCATTGTAATCCTTGACAGTCTCCTCAGCAATGTTGCTACTACAAGACAGTTCAGTCTTGTAGTGGTTTGGGACAGGCAACGAAGCCTGCCAATAAGGCTAGGCTAGAGCTGCACGATGAGCAGCATTAGCATTGGACAGGATCAAGCAGCAATTGATTCCATCCTGAGGAAGATGGCCAAAAGGGAGGGATGGGCTAACGTAGGAGTGGCCGATTGAGATTGTGCTCTAAGACATTCACGCAATATCCTTTTCAGGTGAATCGTAAAGATCATGGTATTGAATGTCTTCTTACTTCTGTTTCCAAACTTCACACATGGATTTGCCATACACGAACAAACCAATAGAGTGATGTAGCCAACTAGAATGCAATCTATCAATGCAACTGACTTACGAGTACTTAAAAAGGGTTATTTTATGATTTTGTTATATTATGGCTTCTGTTTACAACAGAATCATTTAATTGATTTAATCATCATTTTGAAACTTGTGTAGTATCTATAATCTAATATTGTGTTTTAATGGTACAAGTGGAGTAATTCATAGTCATCATTCATAAAGCCTGATTACACATTGACTGTATTCTTTACATGTGCAATTCCTCTGTTTGTTCCTTTATAAATATTAGTAGATAGTATCTCCACAAATAGATATGAGTTTACAATTATTCACAATTCTTTCTGTGCATTGGGTAACTGTATAACAGAGTGTGCAACATTTGGTCAATGCCATTTTTCCAGTAAAATGAGTTGCCTTCTTGCTTCTTCACAGAATGTTTTGTCTGTACGTGTTTAGGATACTGCAACAGATAACACGTTTAGCATAAAGGTCTCTTGGTAACTGCAGCCGAAGCAAGAGCAGCAGGCGCCTTGGGCCGACACGGGAGTTGAGCAGAAGGAGAAGCTCTTATCCATGATGATATCTTGAAATGACGCTGGATTCACGAGAAGCAGAAGAGTTGTTTGCATGGATTCAAGGTGAACTTAGGGAGAGAAACACTAATCTTCCCACTCAATTATGGCATACTACTACCTAACTGGATGCCAAGTGCATTGATCTGTCCCAGGGTGCAGAGGCAGAGCTTCATTAGGGTAAATCAATAGAGAAGTCAGTATAGGGCTGAGGCTGGTACACAATACCATCAACCTTTAGTACACTGTCAAGACCTTTTTAGGGGCTTGCTTCTGCATTGACAATCATTTAATGTTTGGCCATGACATATAGGACACAACTTCAGTGTGGTTTTATCTCTGTGCTTAAAAAAACATGTACACAGCTTGTAACCATTCAGTTAAGAGTATATTCCAGTTTGGTGACACACAGATGTGTTCTTTGGTTTTTGCCAAATACTATCCTTCAATGAATTATCAGTGGGTGACATTATCAGAATAATGAACCAAGTAATAAATAAATGCTTGAATATTTAAATTGGTTTGAGGTTGATAAGATTACAGTTGCCGTACTTATCTGTGAACCTGAGGTAGGATTTGTTATTAATAGATTAAAAAAAATGCATGTGAATGTGGTCAGTTAGCAAACCACTCAAGCATGAAATCATGTTGGTGATACATCTCTGATCTAACCTATTAACTAACAGATGGCATATGCATATCAGTCAGAATGCATAATGTACTGAAGACTGCAGAACTTAAAATGCATAGCTACTTTGAGAAAAAGGAAAAAGGAAAGAACGTAAATAAATTACACGTGTTGACTGAAGGAAGGAACAAATCAAACAAAGACATAAAGTCTTGTATTCCCCTTTAAAGGACGAGGTGATCAAAAAAGTCCCACCTGCTAACCCCCCCCTTTCAGACATGGATCCAACCCTTACCTATTGCGGTGTAGAGGACCTGGTCACAACAACGCTGCCCAGATAGCTGAGATCAATCAAAAACAAAGCAGGTAAGACTCCAGGAGCCATCAAGAACCACCATACTGCCCCTAATTCATAATGATGGAGACATTGCAGTACATGAGAAGCGGACAGGCCCTGTGACACACTTTGCCCAACAACCTCTCCTTGGTAGTCAGACCTGGGAGTATCCTGGGGGCAATTAAAGGGGTTGGGGAGAGGAGGGTTACAGAAAGGGAAGGGGAAGTAAAGTAGGAAAAAATCTGAGAGGTTGGAAGGTAAGGGAGAATTGGTCATGCAGTCAGGTTACTAAGGCCGAGGATGGGCCGCAGGGCCTGCCAAGATGAACTCTTCTTAAAGCATCCCTCCGCATGATAAAGGCATCTTCAAAGGCTTGGAGCTAGACATAACAATGGGTGTTTGTTTTGTCTGGGGAATCAATTGGATGAATATTATGGGATTCCTCCTGTTAGGTGAAAGCAGGGTAACGCATGATACAGATGGAAAAACAGGGATCCTGTGGTGATGTCTGCAAATTCCCAGGCTTTTAGGGGCTTGTGCCAAACAAATTACACAGTGCACTGGCAATAGTATTTTTCATCCGGATGGACTGTAGCCCCAAAAGGTCTGAAATGTAATCTGTGAAGCAAATGCATTTTCTTGTCAATTCAACAAACGTTGTTTGTTTAATAATTTATACTTTTTTTGTCTTTTCACTGGAAAATTCTTAAAGGTGCTGATTTTGGAACAATGCTTCACAGATTGAATGGGTGAATACCTCTAACTTGATGTCTGACATGAAAAGCAGCATTGACCGAATGGACTAAACTGAAAACTTTTCATCAATGCGCTCATCAAATGAATCATCACAATGGTTTTCCTTCAACCATACAATTTTCATTTTCATTTTTCACAAGTGTTAACAAATAAAATAAGCATAAACTAAACTATAAAACTAAGTTGCCACTGAGATGATTTAAAAACTGATGGATATTAGACAGCACTTCAGTAACCAAAATGTCAGAGCAACTTCACACATTAAAGCATTATGGTTTGGGGCAGATGACTCAAATGGTATCCCTCTCTGCATGCCTAATGCACCTACCCTGAAGCTGACAACTGGGGTGGAGAGGGCTCAGATGGAAGGATCTCCTCCTCAGTCCTCCTCTGAGATGGCATCTGCCCAAATATGTTGCTGCTTTCCATGGGGGGTGACGGGGACTGGGAAGCTGGGTAGCTGGTTGCAGAGGTGGCAAAGGCCATGTGGGAACGGTAGCTGGGACTTGCTCTCCTGCTACCCTGGCCTTGGGCAGGTGAAGAGGAGGGGGAAGATCTCCTTGAGAAGCTGGCTGTGGAAGGAGGGAGGAGGGTAATCTCAGACATCTCTGGGGGTATGGTAGGTTGGGCAATGCTGGGACGTGGCCGGGGACGTACTACAATCTCTGGGGAGCCCTCATGAGAACTAAGCGGGCTTTGGGTGAGGGGTGAGAGTCGAGAGGGCTGAAGAACCACCTGATGTATGCCGGAATCCATCCTCCGAGCCTGTCTGGGACTGAAGCGAGGGGTGGTTTCAAACCATCGTGTGTCCAGGCTACTGAATGTGCTAGGGACAATATGGGCCATTGGATCGGTGTAAGGCAAAACCGGCACACCCATACCGTGGCTTGTGTGTCTTAGCTGCCCTAAATGTGCCTCTTGCATAGCTAAATGCTTGGCTGGGGAGCCATGAGGCTTGGCCTTGCTGGGAGACTTGCTTGAGTGGCTCTTTGGGGCCTCCAGTGGCAGGACAGCAGGGTACGTGGGCATTGGAAGGGAGGAGGGCTGAAAAGCACTAAGGGGAAGAACATGAGGTGGAGGAGGATAGGGGGAGTCGTGGCGGAGATGCAAAGGGTGATGTGGTGGAAAAATGAATTGGGGCCCCTCCAGACTTGCAAAGGTGAAGTCCAGTCCCTGCCAAATCTCTGGTGAACGAGAGGAAGAGGTGAGTGTCAGAGGAAGTGGGAAACCAGAGACAGCATACTGTGGGAAATCACCCTCCCCCATTTCTTCAGGAATCATGGGGTGACCAAAAGGACCTTCAGCAAGGTATGGAGGGGAGGACATGACAGAGCTGAGTGGGCTGGTATCAGGCATGTAAAAAGGAGGTGGGGGATCATGATCTCCAGGGGGGCCTAAATAGCCATAGAAAGCCCTGTGATGGAGAGAGCCTCGGATCTGCCCTGTGGCCTGGAGCCGACTGCTCTCCATGATGGTCATACCTTCGAAGGGCCTCTGGAAACGAGGGCTGTAGGCTGGAGGTTGCAGGTAGGATTCCTGACTGGAGATAGGGGAAATCTGGTGAGGCCGAAGGGGGGCCATAACTGGTGGCAAAGGTCTAGGGTCGTCATTCTCTTCGTCTGATTGCCGGAATTCAGGATAGAGGTCTGATTCTTCCACAAAGGGAAAGCCCTCAATCCGCCGCGGCTTGATGGACATTTCTGCATCAGTGGGATCTATGACAAAACGTCCATCTGGGCCTCGGCTGATGAGTTCAATGGGTGTTGTTGCTTCGGCTTCATGCTTGGAGATACTGTACTTCTTGCTTGTTATTGCTCTTTTGGTCTTCATATATAAAGACAATTCCTCCTTCTTCCCTGGACTTGGGGGTGGTTTCTTCCCACGCTGGTCATGACTATCTTCAGATGATTCTGATGGGGATGCCTTTGAACGAATGCTCTCTGGGCTCACCTTTCCTGAAGATGACCTACAGAAAAGAATACAGAAGAAGTGACTATTCAGAAATTGCTAATCGAAAGCTGCGCTGATGGTGCTGAAGACGAATCCAGCTACAATAAACCAAAAATGACAACACACCTCACACAAGGAGATGAGTAATAAAAGCACATGTACACATGTAATTAATGATCTCCATGAAGGCTGCACTCCGTTTACAGCATTATTACTTCAAAACATTTGTTTGATCACGAGTGAATAAAGATATGTCTGTGTTTGCTGCTGCACCACAGAATTCTTTTATTTCGGTCTTTTACATACTTCTGGCAGAGCTAAGCATTGACACATCATATGCCTGACTGTTATGCCACCAACTTAACGTGGACATATACTTTGCTTGAAAACAGAGGGTTAACAGAGTGTAGATGCAGAGGTTTGGTGACACAAGGAAATAGTTTTTTGGAGTCAGGAAGGTGAACACAAAGCGGGGATACCACACACTAAATGGACAATTGTTAAACTTCAACATATATTAATTACATGCATAATTTCATTACACAGAAGTGAGAAAAAACTGACAACAACAAACTGGTGTATTGGTACCCACACAGGGTCTTTCATGTTTACTATCTGAAAGTGTAAAATAGAGCCCTAGCCTGCTCGGGACTTTTTCTTTAATCCGATTGACCCTGACCATTACCGTCCACTCCCAAAATGTATCTGTTCCAGACTCCTTTAGTCTAGTTCACAGTCATGTAAGAGGACTTGATTAGTCCGATCTGTTTACAAGATGTTTATTCTTAATAAACCAGTAGTTATTTTAAGGAAGTGTCATTAACTCACACATAAAGGAACTAATTTCTACAAATTTCATCCCATAAAAATTCTGCAATATATTTTTTGACTGCCCACAGCAAAGTTTAAACCACCCACTCCCACAAGATTTGTGTTGCAGTCCTCTAGTGTAAACTATGGACAGTGATTGATTTTCAACGGTTTTGGCTCTGTTCTCCAACATATCTGATTGAAAACTGTTCCAACTCTGGCAAAATGTATTAGGTTCATGTAGGACCCCATTGCTCACAGCTGGTTGAGAAAATTGGTCATCAGGGCCTTTAAGGGCATTAATACTGATCAAACAGTGTAGGACTTGGAGCCCTTGTCATACATAGTTACTAACATTTTGTCAATGTTGAACAATGACAGGGGTACATATGGATATACACACCCTCAAATTAAAGTTGAAAGTGAGAGAGTGATATAGTCGTTTTGCAATGCCTATTTGTGGCACATACAGTAAATATCTAAAAATGCCTTCCACTTGCTGTGTTAGAAAAGTTACACTCAGGGCTAGTTACGTGGGAAGAAAGTCTCTTTTAGTGCCATGTGCACTACTTAATGCTCTAGGTGAATACGCTGGGATGATTAGGATGTAAATTGTAAATGGATTGTAAAGGATGTACATTTTGGAGTCAAGCTAGACCACTTCAGGGCCAAAAAGCAAATTTTTAAAAAGAGGAAAGGGTCAGCCTTTCCACTAGATTTGAGCAACACTGTAGCAGTAGGGTTGAGGTAGTTGTTATCAACAGCAATGTAACGCTCCGGTATGGCAGACAGGTGTGACTGACAGGTGAGGAAGGAGAGGCTTTGATCCAAGACGCCTACAGACGAATAAGAATATTGCCAGTCATAGATTGGATTGACACTTACTGCCAAAATCCCTCAAAAGCAGGTCAGTCTAAACTAAAGACAACTGCCTTTTTCTGAAACCAGCTTTGAGGTTGAGAATTCTGGGTGATATCAAAGACTTTACAAGTTTAGACGATAACAGAAAGTTATATAAATTGTACCAACACACTTTAAAATACATGATACTTGGAGACAATATTTTTGTTAATGACCATAATGTGTCTTCTTACAGGAAGGAGGAAATGAAAACCATGATTTGTTTTAAAGCCACAATTATTTTATTTCGTGGAAAATAAAACATATACCCAATCCTCAGTGGAATAACAAAGGCTTGTGCTTATAGTAAGAAGTTATAAATAGTCTTTATAAGGCAATAGCTAATGTAAAACACTTATGTACATATGATAGATATTCCAGGTTTGTTTCCAGGGTGAAAAGCCTTCTGTGGTTTCTGTGAAAAATCACATCTGCTTTATTAAGCTACAAAGACAAATAATACTGAAATATATAAGTTGCTTGTTGTCATAAACTAGCCATAAACTAGTAGTATACAATGCAACAGAAGAATATACATCACATCAACTATGCTTGTCTAAAACATACTGTACTTCATTTTCTGATTACATAAAAGACTGCTCATTGTAACAATCATTAATTTTTGCTATTTTTGGCCATCATTCCTTTTGGCTACAATAATATTATATTAATATATCAGCAACTTCATGAATTACCCAACAACAGGCTTTCTAATTACTTTTATATGTTAAACAATGTAAAATATGTTAAGTTATTGTGTCCGTGTTTCTATGAATTGTTTTTTGACAACAACCAACAGGAGTAATGGCCAACACGATAAAATGCAGGCTTGTAACAACGCATTATGTAAAGACACCGTGTTATGTGATAACTTGACAAAACAAAATAAATTTTCACATCATTATGTAATAACACGTTGCATGTTGTAATGAACAGCAGGAACCCAATATGTAATACATTTCCCTGCCTTTTATAATAAATTATTACATTTTGTGGTGATTATTTAGAAACACAAGAGTTGTGTGACACTTTTTATGATGAAAATGCATTACGTAATAACCTACCAAAATCTGTTAAATTATATTTTTAACAATTAAACTACATTAAACCAAAATATTAAATTAGACTCCTAGGACCTGCGGCCCCCTTGGCGTTATAGCTCACTGTGATATTAATCTAAATAGTCACATAAAAGAGGAGAAATTCACGCTTTTATTTGTAGCACTACATTTGACTACTACAACTACGACTACAGGGCTCTCCAAAAAGACTATAAAAAAGTTCAGCTTTCATAT